ATTCCTGTTGTCTGCTGTTGCTTTGGCAGCAAGTTCTGAAAATATCCTTACTCAGTTGACATTTTAGGTGTTGCCAAAATTTTCCTGAGACTGAGTCAGAGAAAGAAATTATGGTTTTTTTTTTTTTTTTTTTTTTTTTTTTTTTCTAATCATTTATATCTCAGCGAAGCCTGTGTAAAATTTCAGGGAACAAAGAACAGGAGCGCCCTTGGGGACAGCTGCTGTCATCTTTTTCTTTCTTTTTGTGGCACTGATAGGAAGTGGTGGTGGGGGGTGTAATTATCAAGGTTCCTTTTGTATTAGTGGTTACAAGATCATTGAAATCACAGATTGAAAAAGCAGCAATTTATTTGCCTAGTGAAGATCATTCTTCTAGAGTCTCTGTCAGATGCCAGGGGTATGTATGTTGTATTTGGGAAGCTTCTGGTGTATGTTTCCTGATGTTGTTGTTGACAGATTTCTCTGCATTTTCTAAGGCTTCAAAACTTTTGTGTGTCCTCTCTCCTACTAAGAATGTGCAAGTTCAATAGTAACCATTCATTTGGCAACACTTGAGTATTTCAGTACCAGTGTTCGGAACTTTTGTATGTAACAGCTGGTTTTTAATCCAGGAAAAGGAAAAAGAAAGGCCTTCACTGCTGTTTTATGGTCGTGTTTTGTTGCCTAGTTGGACCCCTTTCATTGTGTGGAAGTGTTTCTTATTTACTGAACTCATGTGTTTCCATTTCTTAGCTCTGTCCCTTAACTCCTGGCTTTTACATCTCATTTTTACCATGCTGTATATCCGCATTAACGTGATGTCTTTATTCTCCCAGTTGTATTGCACCCATACCACTGAAGTGTTGTCTTTGAATGTAAAAAGATTTCTGCTTTCCCCTCTTCTTCCAGATCATTATTGAAATGCTGAGTGACATCAAATCAAATACAGTCCTGTGGCCACGTTCAGTAAATGACTCTCGTGTCTCAGGAAATTACCAAATACCATATTTATTTGTGACTTCTTAGAAACTTTCCAAGTCGTCTTGCTCAATGGTGGTACTGAAATCAACTTGAACTTTTTTCAGAGAGTGTTTTTCATTGCTTCGATACAAGAACAGGGTAATAATCTTGCAGTGAGTGTGGAATTCATAACAGTGGCCACTTACATAAGCTTCTGGGGTCTGCTAACTTTACTCTGTTACTCTTACCCTGTGTATCTTGAGGCTACCCTAAACTGCATTACATGCGCTAGAAAATACCCATCCTTAACATTTTATAAAAGGAATAATGCAGTCTTCTCAGTATCTTTGATGCATCAGTTTGTGGTGCGTGATAATGGGAAATTTGTTGTGAAAGATTCTTCTATTTTTGAATAACAGGCAAATGGAATAGCTAGCTTTTCTGCTTCTTTTGTCATTAAAATGAACATCTCTATGGCTTAAAAACTATATTATAGATATTTTTATGACTTTAAAGATATATCTGTATAGCATATAAAGTTTCTGAGTAGTTGTATATTCATATGGTTGAGATACACCACTGAAACCTTGTTTTATAGGCCAATATTATATAGTTTTTTATAGACACACACTGTACCACTCCCTCTCTTTATAACATTTGCTAGCAGATATAGAGATAGATACAATCTGAACTTTTCTTCTGCAGTTTCAAAGTTCAGGGGACATAGATAAAGCACAGGAGACTGTTTTTTAGGTTTTCTTGCAATAGCAGGAAACATGGGAGAATTGTGCTAGCAGTGTTGGTATTAAAAACAAAAGATGCATCTTGGAACTGTTAAATCAGTGCGTATTATTGGAGTGTATAGTAGAAATAGTTGTAGTTTTGGAAAGGCAAGGCTTCTGTGAGGCTTATAAATAGAGCAAGGGTGCTACCAACAATCTTGAGAACAGGAGTTAAGTCACATGATTTGTGAATCCTTTCAAATGAAAGGGAGGAGGGAGGAAGAGGGACCCTGGCCTAAAATGCAGAAGACTTAAAATTTAGAATCTAAATCTGGACTGTTAAATGTGGGGTTGTTCCTGAGCGCACACCGAAAGTAGCATGTCATGTGGAAATGAAGTTCTCAAACTGTTCTGGAAAGAGCTCTTCTAAGTCCTTGCATGCGTTGTTGTGTTTTACTTGGTTTTGTTTCAGTTTCAGTTTTTGAATTGCTAAGGTAACTTACTCCATCTTCCTATCTTATTAATTTCTAAAACTGTCTGCTATCGTAGATATTATCTGTCTGGAGAGAAGAGGCACTGTTTGGAGAAAGATCTTTTTCTTTTTCCTTTTCTACTGATGTTTGATCTCTCTTTTCTTTGTGACCCCATCCACCAGCTACCTTTTTGCTCCCCTTGCCTTTGCTTGCCCATCTCATCCTTTTTATGCATTGCCCCACTGTAGTCCTGTGCTATTCCCTTGGACGTATTTAAAGTCGGCCCTTCCTCAGTCATGGACCTAACTTTCCTGGAGCCTGAAATCTCACTGTTTTTTTTTTTTTTTTAATTAGCTCAGGTTTGAGCTCTGATGGGGTAAGCCTGTTTTGAGAATCACCTACTGCACTGTAACTACAGATCCAGCCAATGGTGCAGTTCAGGGTTGTGCAGGGATCAAGATTTTTCCATCACTGTTGTGGCATATACCTGTAGGAGGTTTGCTTTGTTTGCTTGTTTGTTTAAATACAGTATTATGCCAACCTGAGAACTAATTTACCAAGCAGAGCTGCCTGCAGGCTCTGCAGTTCCAGTTGCTGATAGCCCCAGAGATATTGGCCGTTTGCCATTATATGATAACAGATAGAGTGAAATTGCTTTTAGTTGTGCTGTGTGACATAAATTTTGTTCTTTACTCTGCAGATCTGATATTTTAATAAAGGAGCATAGCCGTTCTGCTTTGTGCAGTACCGCACGGGAGAAATGCATACAGCACTCTCTTCATTATAAAAGCATGAAGGACCTGGTCCCTAGTACCTTGAAATGGGCTGGCACAAAGAAGAGAAAGAGTAGTAGTGAAAGCCTTGTAAGTGTAGCAGAGGGTTTATTTATAGCATTTAGCAGTAAAGCATGAATTTTGTGTATAAATTTGAAAGATTTCTTTGTAAACAGTCACCAGAGAGCATGAGAACTGCCCCTGCTCAAGGGAACCAGTGATATGGGGAGGGGCTGGGGCAAGGCTCAATTGATGTGGAAGTTGCCTTAGGGGCAGATCCTGTCCTGGTAGGTGGCAGTGTCTCTTTGCTTCTCATTGCCTTCTGAACTGGCTCCGTGCTGAGCCAGCAGATAACTGTGCACAGTTCTGCTTGGAGGAGAAGGCTGGCCATGCTTCACGCTCTTGAATCCTGTGGGATTTTGTTATGGGCCAGGCAATTAGTTCCTCAGTGCTTGATTTGGCAGCCTCAGTGTCAGTCTTGCTCTGTCACACTGTTGCAGGCAACCTCCAATGATGCCCTCAAAGATGCACGTGGGGGAAGAAGGGCAAAAGGGAACTTGCAGTCTACTTTGCCTATACTTTTTTGGGGAGGGAGGGAGGGGGGAAAGAACAGGAAAAAAAAATGTCACAACTTTTCAGAGAGTGGGTGCCCCTTTCTTCTCTCACCTGAATACTTCTAGGGAATCTACAGGGATCTCTTGATCAGATTGGACTTTGGTCTTGGTTATGGCAGATATCTCTGTCTGAGGTCTGCCCTTTGGCAGGAGCTGAAGTATCTCATTTGGGAAATAGCTGCCTGGCAGGTAGCTAAGCAGAATTTGGGGAGATGTTTCCTTTGAAGAAGCCCCCCTTAATGTTTGGCCAAAATCATCTGTTAGCACCCACATCCCCTTGCCCCACAAGGGGCTTGCCAGAAGTCAGGTGCCTGCATAAGTCGCATGCTGATGGCAGCAAGCCTTCAGCAATTGCTAGGCCTCTGAAGTCGTAAAATGTCTGAAGAAATAAAGGCAGGGTCCTTGTTTGACTTCTGATTTTTGGGTTTCACATTTTCAAACTGTCTTGGAAAGCTAGAAGGAGAATGTTGCTACTTACATGAAAATAAAATTCTGGTGCCATGTGAGAAGGAAAGCTGAGAAGTTAACAGTAATGCATGAGACCTTAAACCAAGGAGCTCTTCACCAGAGTGGCTCTTCCCTTAAAAGCTGAGCCTGTGGTGCATGTACAGGCCCCAAGGGCGTGTCATACCAGGGAGGTAACTGCAGCTAGGGTTTGACTTTCATTGTGCCATGTTATGTCCTTTCCCACGGAGCACTGAAACTCGGAGTCTGTAACACACCCAGGTGGACTTTTAAAGGCTGCTCTTGAGGAGGGAGGTGTGTTATCTCTGTATTGTAAATGTGCTGTGAACTACGAAGCCCAAAGTGGACTGACCAGGTTAAAGCATGCTTTTTGCCTGATTTCATGCTCTTGCTGTGTGATCTTGCATGTTCCCTGCAGAAACAGAGGGGGAGTTTGAATATTTTTGGTTGCACTGCGTGCAGGTGGGAGTTCAGACAGATGCAAGCTGCGGGATGTTGGGGCAGATTATGCTTGCTGAGGCTTGATTCTGTTTGTGCTGGTGAGTTTTTTTTTTAACTGATTTTTTTTGTTATCAGTAAATGAAATAAAAATAACATGTAGCAGCAGTCAAGTCCCTTTCAGTGCTCTCCATCTAGCATGTTCAGACTGGCTCCTTTGATTGCTTGTATCCTGGCAATGGAAGAGTTCCTACTCATTAGTGAGTTTTTGGATTAGTTTTATTTCCTCATGCTGGTTAGTGGCCAAGCTTTGTTAGAGCCAGTGTTTTTACACTAAATTATGCCCTGCTAGTGCCAAGATTGTCACAATCTCGGGGTCGTGAGGATTGATAGTGTCAGAATTATGAGCTTTACTGCTGTTCCATGGCTAAACTGACAAACAGAATGAGTCCTTAGGCAGAAATTCCAGATTATGAAACTGCCAAGTGCTCCTTGGAATCCTTTTTTTTGTAAATAAGCTCAGACTTCATCAAGTCAGAAGTTATCCTGCTCTTCCTAAAGAGCCATCTGCTTTGAAATAGTAGAGATGGGATGCATGAGGAGGTATGGATACGTCTAATGAAAGTATCTTCGGTAGTCCGTGGAAAAAATGAACAGCTGCATTGGTGGTTCTGGATGCTGCGATGGACATAGGTGCAGCAATATTTCATCTGAAACTCTAGCCTGAGATGTCACTGGATTTGGAAAAGATTATCATTTCTTGATGGCTAGTGACTTACATTAAGGAGCTGCTTGATTCAAACATTGAACATGGGATGCTGAATGTTCTAGGTCAAAACTCAGTCTAACCCAGTGTCCTGTCTGTAGCGTTCATCAAATCAGATACTCAAGCAAGCAGTGTGAGAGGTGGAGCAAGCAAAGAACAATTTTTCTGCCTGTTGTCAGTGACTTAAGGACTTCTTAGTTGCATCTCGATATCATGTTTAATAGCAACTCTTGAAGTAATTTGTTTAATCTCTTTGAATCCGTTTGTTACCACAGCAGTGAATTCCACAATTTTAGAAATGTTAAGTGAAAAAGTAGTAGGATTTTTTCTTCTCCCTAAATTCTGCATGATCCACAGCAAACTGAAATTTTGCAGTGATTTCAGTCACATACATTGAATTACCACCTGAATTAAAAAAACACACCCCGTGCCTCTTATCTGCTTTGTATACATTCAGTTGTATTTACTGTTGTCCCCACCCTTTTGTTTGGCCAGAGACTAGTTTTGACACTGTAGTGCTGTTATAATAGTTGGCATCCTGGAACAGTATATATAAAATGTAGTGCTGGGCCAATAATTAGGTATGAACATTTTTCAGAAGGCTATTTAACTCTTTTTGGGTTTCTTTTTCACTCTGCAAATTTCCCTTTTCCATCTCTCTCTCTCTCTCTCTCTCTCTCTTTTTTTTTTTAATATCTACCTCCTTCTTGCAGCATTAGCCACTATGTGCTGGTGATGTCGTTGACCATATTCATGATGCTGATGAATGGACTGGCCCAGCTCCTGACTACAAAGAGGCTTGAGCTTTCCAGAAGGACTAAGCACCATTCTGCGTGATGAAGTGTTAAATATTCCTGCAGTTTTTCCCACCCTCAGCCTTCCTCTGAACCAACCTCTGCCTGTGGAATGTAAATGCAAGTTAACAGACTAGAGCGCCAAAATCCCACCCAGGGATCAGAGTGCTCTACTGATACAGATTAAATGATGTCCTGTGGCTGAAATTTGTGTTTGGAGATCGTCATTTAGACATCAGCTGGGCTAAAATAGCCTCATCTTTATTCTTTAAGCAACATATTTATTGAAAGTAAAACCAGCAATGAAGTCCTGTATAAAAGAAATAGGCAACTATCTTTTGGGTTTTTTCTTCAGTTATTTTAACTCATCTTCCAGCTGTTCATCTCACACATGCACACTCTTATTAGGAGTCTGCAAAGTCCTAGCTTCATTTCACGCCTCACATAATCATTTTGCAGACTAAAACATAAACAAAATCAATCTGGGCAGATCACTGGTTTGTCTGTTGCCCAGTATGGCATATGCATTTGAATATCTCTGAAACTGGCTACCCTTTTTGAAAGCTATGTGAATGCTTCAAGCTGTCTGTGTGAGAGTGCGCTGAGGCAAGCGGGACTGGTACGCTGTGGGACTGTTGCTGTAAGACAGTTGCTTTAAGCTGACCTCAGTGCAGACTGCTGCCTCTGACTGCTCTCCTGCTGTCTCTTGTGCCAGCAGGAACGCTTGAGCAGGCTGAGCAGTAAACCAGATCAAGTAATTGATCCAGTTGAATGTGAACCTGATGAAAGAATAGTAAGACAGCGTTCAGACAGACCAGTTCACTGGGCCAGCTCATGGGTGAGGGCAGGCAGGAGGATAGGTCGGTGGCAGCCTAGAGTTACATCAGCATAAAGAGAACATGAAACTGTAGCCGGAGTGTGTGGTTTGCATAGAGTGATGCCCATCCTGCCGCTCAAAGGCTTTTTCTTTTGTTAACATTTTTGTTCTGCTCCTGATTGCAAGTGTCAGCCTGCGTAATGGCTCTGCTGTGAGGCAAACAAATCTTCTGGTTCTGCGTGGATTACAAGTGAGAGTAGAGAGATCTGTGACACCTATAGGCTCTTGGGGACCCAGTAACTGTAAATCTGTTGCATGAGGCTTTGAGATAGCCTTGCAACTTCATAGTCTCTGCAATGGCAAGCATCAGCTTCCCTGCCAGTAGCCCAGTGTTTTAAAGTGGGTAGAAATACAACACCTACCGTGATTCAATGCTTCATTCCTCCCTGAAGTCATCTATTTTTAAGAATTAAGCGAAAATTGTATCTCCTGCTCACCAGGAGCCCTGCACAGAGCTACATATCTTGCCTTTGAAGTAGCTTTTTGCATTCACACTATCAGTTAAAAGAGCCTTTGAAGTGGATTGCTTTGCACGGTGAAGAAAGTGAGTGAAAGAAAACACTTTCTTCACTCTGCACAGTGTGTGATGACATCCTTGACAAATCGTGCTAAGTCCCATGTCACACTCCATCTTGCAAATAGTCCTTCCTGTCTAAGAGCGCAATATATACAGCGCATGGCACCGCTAGCCAAGGCTAGGCGTTCATCATGAGGGCAGCTCTGATACTCAGTTTCTAGCCATCTGGTATTTGGCCGTGGTCACATGGCTGCTTAACACTGGAAACCAGTCATCCCTGCAGGAAGTTTGGCTGGGAGAAACCAGTCGCAGATCTCCATCTGCTTTTTGAGTGCTGGTAAATATCACATTATGGACTTGTAGACACCCATGCAGCCTCAGAGTGCCTCTTGTGAGCATCTGATCACTGGAGGAGTCATTCTGCCACTAGGTAGTGGGCTGGTGACCCTCCTGGGCATGTTGCTAGCACAGCTAGCCACTGTCACAGAAGATATTGCATATATGGTCTGTAAAAAATGTGAAGACTTGTGTGTTGGAGGGTGGATGAATGCCAGCGGCTGGTGGTTGTGCTGTACAAGGAACCACCTTGAGCAGGTAGAAGGTTGAGGCCACAGCAAAAGCTATGTCTAGGCACGGCAATCTACTGAACCTGTTCTCAGCTCCAGGGAGCTCTTACTGGGGAGAACTATCCTCACCTTGGCCCTATCCTATGTAATCCCAAGCTGTAAGGGTACTGAACCGTCAGCTTTGTGTGACCTAACTGATCTCTCGATGACCTCTGTCCACAGCTCTGTTCTTGCAGTGCGCCCAGCTATAGGCAGCCATACTATTGAGCATCCCAGTCTGTGTTGCTGGAGTCATGCTCTTTGTAAAGCTGCTGTTTGTAGAGCAAATTCACTGATGGGAGCAGCTGAACAGCTGCCTTTGCTCTATGTGACATGAAGGAACTGACGGAAAAGTAGGAATGTAGGACCCACAGGGCTGCCGCCCTGAAGGCAGATCTGCAGACATGTCAAAGATGCTAGTTATCTGTGACAGGGCCAAGTGGGTGTCCTACCTATCAAATGACAGCACTGGAGGTACGTACTATCTATTGCTGTAGGCTCCTTGGGAGAATGCACAGAGGCTGAAGCCTGACGTTGTCTTTTATTACCATGGGGGGGAGGGGGGCTGGTAATAAAATATTGGCTAATCGTGCTGTATCTGATGCTGCTAATCTACCACAGTAGGAATAATGAATGTACTCTGGCATACAGGACAGTGAAAACGGCTGTCCAAAAAAGGAACCCACATCAATTATCCTTTCTGCTTATGGCTTCCGTAGTGTCTCCTTCCACAAAGTAGGTTCTGTTTTTGAGATCCATTCCTGTAAGAGCAAGAGGAAGACGAGCATGGGAGAGCAGCCACAACACACATAGTAGTTTTTCCCCAGAGCTTTGAAAGGGCCTATTCTAGTTTGCCGTTTGCCCCGACTGGGCTGTAGCGGTAGCAGCCTTAGCTGACCTTTCCCTTTCCCCTGCCAATCCCCCCTGCATCTCTGTGCTGTTTGCAAATGCTGTTCCTAGCATGCGCCACGGGAATCTTGGAGAGCAGCTCTTGCAAAGAGGCCGATTGGCCATGCTATTCCTGTATCTCCCCAGGGGAGGCTCTTGCTGGAGTCTTGGCCTGCACGTTTGGGTTCACTCCAGCACAAGGAGGTGTCAAAAATTCTCCCACTCAGCTACTTTTTACAGCCCAATGGGCTATGTGGCAAAGTAGACTCTTTCCTCCTACTGGTATGTGTTCCCTTTCTTCCCAGGAACAAACGTCATCTGTAATAAAAAGTCCCCCACCACCTAAAAGCTGAGGTGGGTAATGAAATGTACTCAGCTGATTTTAGGCTTTCTGGTGTTCTGCTTGTGAGTCTGAAGTATCATCCCTCTTCATGAGCAGGGCCTTGGGCACAGAACGGGGTATATGGGGCAGTGCAGGTATCCGCTAGCTCTTGTGTTTTCTCCTAAGGGCACAAAGGCAGAATTCCCCAAGCTCTCTTACCTTCCTCCTCCTACCTGCAGCAGAGTTACAGACTCTCTGACTCCTAGAGCAGGTGAAAACCTGAAGCAGGGAAATGTAGGTGGATTGACGTCATTATTTTTGTCTGACGCTGCACTTTTTTTTTTTTTAAGTATATTGGTAGTGTAAAAAACACTGCAAAGCTTATATTTGCTTGCTTTCAGAGCCATGGATCCCTGAAGAACTAGCTATGAACCTGGAGTGCCCACCAGGAGTTGCAAGGCAAGAGAAGCTGTGCTGAAGAGCAGCTATTATAAAGATCATGTGTTCACCGGTTCTAAAAACTTGTCTGCTATTGTGTTTTCAAGACAGTAACATAGCCTTTTGATATAATTCCAGGGAGTGAGCTATTTCTTCAGAGATGATGAAGTTTAGGTTGTATCAAGGTTTTTTGTGACTCAAACTAAATGACTTCCCTCTCCCTCCCTGCAGAGTAAATCCGATTTTACTAGGCTTGGCAGTTTCGAAAAATGCATGCCATAGCTGTTAGTTGTAATGCAGCTACAGCCTTCACATTCTTGAATGAGAACGAGGATATGAACGAACTTTCATAGTTTTACCAAAACCTTGCTCTCTAGCATCACCCTTAAACTCCATTGTCTGATTTGCCCAAGCTGTGCTAGAGTTGTGATTTCAGCCCCTACCTCCTAATCTGCAAGGGCTCATTGACAAAAAGATGGGTTATTGACGGTTCTTTAAATTTTCTGCCCACCCACCTGAATCCTGCAATCCCTTTTTCTGTGCTTTCCCCTTTGAGGTGGTGAGGGTTACTTCTCTCAGAAAACTTTGGGGAAGAGGATGGGTGTATGGAGGGTGCATCAGGTGCTGGGAACAGGAGCCAGTTGGGCAGCATATCTTGGGGAGCTACAGTAGCGGTGGGGAAGGTAGAAAGTCTCTGTCTCACACCCACTCTGGGCTGTGCCCTCTATCGTAGTGGCTGGGAAGCTCCTGGTGCCCCATCTCCGTCCTGACAGGGCTTCATCAAGACTTAAGGCAAGGGACTTTGCCTTTTTTTCCCTCGTGCCTTCTGACCACCTTTAGGCAGCTGCCCTATGAGTTGCCGTGGCCAGGGGAGGCTGGGTAGCACATCTCGTTGATGGGAAAGTGCTTGCGACAAGCTGTGGCCTGGGTGCCCAGGACTGACCATCACAGCTACTGATAGTCACCATGCTGACTATAGAGCTGCTGCTGTTGCAGCTGTCTCCTCAGAGCAAAGGGTCCCAGCGACTGGTTATGTCTGTAGGGATGGGTTGAAATCCAGTTCACCTATTAAAAAGTCCTGAATTTGGCTGCTTCCCATGAGGGCTCCTCTTGGGCCCTGGGGCAAGGCTCAGCATTTGAGCTTGCAGCACAGAACGAGGAGGGCTGAAAAGTGCAAGGAGAAAGCTGGAAGTGTGGTGCGCGCCCCGTTCCTGTAACCTTTGAAATCAAGCTTGTCAATATGTTCTTCATTCGTTTATTTATTGACTCGTGTTTGGCAGCAAGCTTCCTAACTTTCTAACTCTCAACGTGGATAATATCAAGCGGAAATAAAAGAAAGCACACCTTATTTGCTTGCGTTTTATTTTCCAGGTATATTGTAACAGCAAATGTGTGGGGTTTTTTTCTTTAATGTTATATAAGGTGAAGCTGACATAGATTTAGCTTTCACTTGGATCCTCACTACTGACAGACCTGTTAATGGCTGGATATCACCCAGTGAATTTGGAGAGAGAGAGAGAGAGAAAACAAACAGCAAACCAAGATCCCCAGCCAATGTACTTGGAACAGGAAACAAGCAGTGGATTTCTTGCCCTCTGCAGCCCTGTTTTTTGAGGGTCACCTCCCCTGAGATGAGGTGTCCTCCTGAGCTGGATCATCCTGCGAGCCTCCGGTAAAAGGCTGTCACGTTCTGCACCCGCTGTGCACCGCCGAGTGGTTAAGCAAGGTGGAGAATCAGGCCTTGGGAACTGAAATTTAAATCACTCCCAAGTGTGATCATAACGGAGTCCGACATTTTGGCCTCACAGCAAGACGGGAGGAGAAATACGGCGAAGGTGTATGTCACTAGCACAGCTCTTCTCTGTCCTAGCTGCCTCCTCTGGGTTTGCGGCTGTGCTCTAGCAGTACCTGCCCGAGTTCGCCTCCAGGTTGCAGCAACTGTGAGATGATCGAAAGGATATGTGTCTGGTAATAAATGTTGCAAAACTGACATTTAGGTCTGAGGACATTTCTGACTGAGACCTAAACTCCTCTAATTAAAGTTGGCTTATTGCTCTTGCAGAAACGCTAAAGGACAAAGCGTTCTGAGCGCAGCTCGCGTATTGACTTTCTGTGAAATAACCTTTATGCATCTCCACAGACATGGCCTTTTTGTGCTGGACATCGTTATTCTGACTTTTGGCATGTGAGCTAGTCTAAGAAAAAAACTGCAGAGTAATTCCAGCCTTTGCTTTGTGGTGTGAGTCTCAGCGAACACATGGGGAGAAATGGACTTTAAAAATATTCCTATTCTATTTTTGTATCAATTTCCATATTAAGTTAAGAGATACTAGAACTTACTGTACAAAACATTGCTATCCAGAGTTATATTTAGCTACTTGCATGTTTGTGTCTCTATCTCACCAGATCTCTGCAAATGAGTGGATATTTTCCATCACGGGCTTTGAGGAGGAAGCCTGTTATATCTGACCTACCGTGAAAGGAAAATATCTGTTTAGTCACCACGCATTTTTTATACAAGTAGTATCTTGCTGCTTCTCCTCTAGCCTATGTTAAAACACATTATAGTTCACATAAAATGTAACAAACAAACTTACTTACTTTAGTATAACTTAGCAGTTGACAGGCATTTGCTGCAGCAGGTAGAAACGAAATGGGCATGACATTTTTTAAAAAATAAATAATGAAAGAAAATCTGCTTGATTTCATGGAATAATTACTTTTTGCATGTGTTTTTGTGGGAGGAGAGCCAAATCTTTCTCCATGACCTAAACTGAACACAAGACTTCCAAAGACTTCCAAAACTCTTCTGTTTCCTGGGACTTTATGTCACCACCAAGTGCCAAGCAGTAATGCAGTGAACACTGCCGATCTTCTTCCTGGAGCAGTGTCTTCCCTCGAGGGTCTTGCCTGTCTGTGCTCTCTCCTGGCGTAATTCCCGGCCCTCTGCCTCCGCACGGGGCTGCACTGGGGCCCCGCTGGCAGCCTGGCTCAGCAGCAGATGCTGAAGAGCTTAGATAATTCAGCTGAACCCCGGATGGGTCAGGAGACAGGGTTTGTCCCCTTAGGGTAGATCATTATGACAGCTAGTCTGTCACAGTGGAGCGTGTTTGTTTGGTTTGGCTCTTATGTTTGTTTGTTTTAGGATTTTTTTTTTTTTTTACTGATTCGTAAAGCATGTTTTTTTTTCAATTAGTGAACAGGAGACCGGCTAGGCAGCATTAATTCATTTTAATATGACTCAATAATGAGGAGTGCTCTTACTTCCTCATAGCGGCTGAATGCGTTTGCTCAGGCAGTTTGCTTGACAGAAAATACAATTTTACAGAAATTGTTCTACAGAGCAGGAGAACAGATTCTTTCATTTTCCCTTCCTGGTACTCGTTTCTTGCAGAAATACATGACATTTGGGGAAAAGCAGCCTTTCATTAGTGGATGCATGGAAGGCCCCACAGGCATGAACACAGAATAACTGGATCTGCAGTCTATAGAAGTGCAACTGATTGTATTTTAAGGGTCTATTTCACTGTTACTACCTATCATTCCAATATGTTATATTGGGACTGGATGGTGGTAACAATATTTTCTCTCTTCATAACAGTTTTAATTCTTCACGAAAAATCATGGGAGTCGAGAGCTTTCTGAATAGGAAGTGACCCAGCTAAGGCAAGTGGAGATGACCTTCCCTTGTAGTTCGCAGCCATTAACCTCGGCAAGAGAAAGAAAAAAAATAAGTTAAAATGGCCACTTCTGCTTGTGAAAATTGGTTTATGATACATTGCAAATACCCTCACTGTAGGTAGTTGTTTAACTTAATTTGTGCCACGATTAGGCAAATGTGCTTATCAAGCCTCAGCTTGCTCCCATTCTTCCTCTTTGAGTGGTGGTGTGCGTAAGATGAATAGGTTTACATGCTCGTAAGGGGAAAATGCATGATACTTGTCAGATTAGTACTAAGTGGCATTATTTATTTGGATGTTTATTTTGCAAGTCTGTGAATGCACCTCACTATTAAGAATAGGAACACAGTAACGATTCTGTTTAATTAACAGAGAAGGAACTTTCTTGCCAGTTCTAACTGCCGTTTGCTCTATGTGAAATGTCACAAGATTGGAGAACTCTTGTAAAAGGCTGAGAAAGCATTATTTGTGTTTGGTGCATGGAGCTTTATGAAAGCAATTTACATATTTGCACACTGAAGCATAACTAACAGAACATAAGCAGGGTGATAAATGATTAACTCTAAAAGATTGACACTTGGGGCAAAAATCCAGCAAAGCACTTAAGCATGTGCTTAACTTCCAACAGCCTGGCTCTGTTGACTGCAGTGGACCAGAGTCAGGTCGTTTCTTAAGTTCAAGAAACTGCTCATGCACTTTAAATTAAACATGTGCTCAAGTGACCTGGAGAACCAGGACTCTGGCTAAAAGATCTTATAAAACAGAAACACTTTCCCTTCTAACGCTTAAATCGGGATGGCTGCAGTAAGTGGGACTGTAAATAGATCAAAGCTTGTCATGGATGGAGTATCCACAGCTGCTATTGATAAAGTGGGAGTTGTCAGTTGTCTAGTTATTCTCAGATTTAGGACAAAAAATAGAGGTATTTCAGTAAAAGATCAATCTAGTCTGTCTATTTCAGTACAGTGTTTTGTTTTGTTTTATTTTAATTTGGGGAACACAAACATATTGAACATTTTATTGCAGTTCAGTGAAAATCTCATTTTGCTTTGGCCAAAAATTGCTTTCACTGAGTGGCTTAATTGGAAATGGAATTTGGCCAAAAAATAATAATAAAAAAAATCCCTGTTTTCACATTGCAGTAACTTGAACCTCCTTCCCATCATTCATCCTGCACTGGCCTCACACTACCTACCAGGAACCCCCTTAGTAGCTTTACTTGATCACAAGCCACTTTCTTTCAGTGGAGCTGGAAATCCGTGAAGCTGGAGGTGGAAGGAGCTGCTCTGAAGCAGGAGCGTTCAGCAGAAGCTGGCGTTCCACGCTCCGCCGGGGTTCGCAGGGTGGTTCTGGTGCCGCTATTTTTGGGCTCTGCATAACAAACACTCTTCAGGCTCTGCAGGAATGATTTCATTTGCTGATATGAACTAGAACTACAACTGAAGTCCATCCGTTTCTGCTTTTAACCCTTTTAAAGGGGAATATTTGGGCTTACATTGCTGTCAGAAACACCTTGCTCCTTAGGTTACTGCTTTTCATCTCCAGCAGAGGTGTGAAAGCTGTGGATACTCTATACACATCAGCCATTCATTCAGTCAAGGACAAAACCTTCAATATGATGCCTGTGTGTTTTCACATCAACATAAAGCTGTACATAGAGCTGTTGTATGTTCTTTGCTTTTTGAGGAGCTTTTTGTCTCTGTCATTTTTATTTTACTTTGCTATTTGCTTTATCTTACTTTTGCTAGTACTGTGTCTCAGCCTTGACTTTAAAATATGTCATAAGTAGATAGTGGTTGGGTGAAGCTTAATAACGTTTGTCAGCAATGATGATGATGTTCATTCAGGAAACATGTAAGAAGCCAATAATCTCCTTTTTTGGAATAAAAATGGAAACGACTACATTTGTTGACCAAAACTTAGACCCTGGGTGATTAAGCAGAAACAGAAAAAGCTGGTGAAAGGATTTTTCTGGGGCCTGAATTCAGACCTAAGCAATACGATACTGTTTCTGGAGTGTATTTGTTCAGAATAGCCAGGAAACTGGCAGAAAAAAAGGAACTAGAAAGCCCTGGACACAGCCAGGAAAAAGTTAGAAATATGATCCTGAGAAAATGGCTGAAAAGTCTCTTTATAGGCTTGAGTGCTGGCTAGAAATTAATGAAGAAATTATCTTTGACTTTTTGCTGAGTTCTTTTTTTTTTTTTTTCTGTTTTGTGAGATCAACAGGATTGCACAAACATACCTGATTCCACCAGCAATTTTCCTGCTAATGGAAACAACTTGAAAGACACTGAACTCTGATCAAGCAGCGCAGCACACAGCTGCTTATAAAAGTAGGCATATTTTTGCAGTAAGGGGGAAAGGAGAGGGCAGGGTGACTAGAAATTTCTCCATATCCATTTATAGCATGAAAATAGACTTTATGCTCCTGTAATACATTGACCATAGAGACTAACAACCACTAAAGTCTGTAGGAATTTCCCAAAGCCTATGGTAGTCAATAGATCAGGTCCCAAGAGTGTAACTCACAGGTTGGTTGTTACAGAATTCAAGCACTGTAGTATCCAACTCATATTTTTCATGTCTGTTATGATTTCTTTTTTAAGCAAGATTTGATACACTGGACATATATGCACGTTAGAGTTTCCTGATGTGCAGGAAGCATGACTGCATGTACTGTTAAAGGTACTACACTGCTGTAACTTTTCCTTGGTCTGAGATCTGAAATCCTGAACTTCATTCAAAATTCTGGGTGTATTGGTGAAGCCCTGTAGGAAGTGCAATGCCTAATTAGCTGTGAAGAGGGAAAAAATCCTAGCATTCACTTTCTTAATCACTCCT